TTGGCTACAATATGTTGAGCCAAACTCTTGGTGAGGCATTCTCCAGACCCATATCCTTCCACTGTCCGAAAATTGAGTGAATCTTGATTCGTCTGAGAACAATACTGTCTTCCAAAAGTCCAGAGGCTTGGTCATCATATCACCTGCCCACTTCTTTCGTCTGACTATGATGGCAGGTCTTAATAAGGGCTTCCGTCTAGCTGCTCTGCAATGATAACCCAATCTGTGGTGAATCTGTTGAACAGATTTCGGGCTCATCCCACCAACTTTGACCACTTCTGCAGTTGTTAATCTGGGATCCATTTCGATGCTCCTCTTGACAGCCCTTTTTGTCCTCACCGATAGACCCGGACACTGCTCAGTTGTTTCCTTGCCGTGTTTCCTGAACTCCATGATGATTCTGTTGACTGTCGAAAGCGGGATTCCCAAATTCTGCGAAATTTGCCGCTGACTTATTCCACCATCTGCTTGACCAACTATCCTACCTCTAACAAAATCTGACAATTCGATAGAACCTTGAGTTCTAGGCATGTTGTAGCACAAGGTAATTAATGTGCAGACCATTTTCATTTATATAGTGCTCTGTGAACACAAATTAGTTAGCATAAATAAGTTAAATGACGAAAAATTAGGTGTCTATTTACTTGTGACCACTCAGTGTAAATATGTATATAAATTTTTTTTCAAACCGCTGGGCAAAAAAATTTTTTGTAAACACCACTAGTTCTGTGATCACTTAAAAAAAAACACGATAAACCACGAATACAATTACTATAAACATATATTCTGTGAAGAGAATTACAGAAATTTCAAATTATTTCGTAACACGCCCTTACTGGTCCATATTGACCTCAATTGACAAAGTTGAGTTGACTATTGCCAACAGTCTTATAGTTTGTTCTTTCATTTCATCTCCTTTACCAAGTAAAGTACTTCCCTCCATGTGGATAAGTTTACAATCAAAATGAATTTATTTTTGATTCTAATCCTCAATCTGCGAGAACATTTTTTCAGAGATGGATAAACTGAACAGACTTGTGTTCCCCATGTTTTTAATGAATGTTCATCAATGGTAAATTCTCCCCTGCCAGGTTGTGTATTTATTAGTTTAGCGTGAAACCTCAATGAATTGGCCAAGCAGCATTGAGTTGTCAATTGATAATCAGGTGATACCCTTCTACATCACTGCAAACTACATTAATTTTTGAGAATAAAACTTTCAAGTTGGCCAATTTTGTTAGATGAGTCAGTATATTGGCAGAAATAGTTAAATATTAAAAAAAAATGCCGGTCATGACGTCAAAAAATCTCTCAGTTGGTCCCAATTTCAGATGGTCAGTCGGGTTACAGTAAACAGAAATATTTTAAAGCTTGGCCTGACCAAATAATAAATACACCATCAAGCCTTGCAGTACACAGTATTCATTGGGAAAAAACAAGAAAATCGATTTGATTTAACAAAATTAAACGTAATACCAGTGAAAGCATACCAATAATTTCATCTGCATAGGGTGTCCTTGCACCCAAAACTCCACCAAAACATTTACGCTGATCCACACAGTAGCTTTTCTTGAGCTGTGTCACACCATCGGTTTCCAACTGACACCATTCACACCCAAGTACACCAAAACATTCACTAGAATAAAAGCACAAGAGGTGATCATGCTCCATTTATTAAGAAATAGTGTGGAGAGTTGGTAACAATTCATATTTGGCATAAAAACCTTAAGAAAATTCCACATTATTACATAAAGCAAACCATAATAAAAATATATAACTTTACAATCCAAATGGAATACGTTCATTAACTTCACATTTAATTTGGAAGAAGAGAAACTTTTCTTAAATATTTTTCTGTGTAAAAATAACAACAAAAATTAAAATTATCAACGTTTGATAATAGATTAAGACATATAGTTATAATGTAAAAATGTTTTATTTTCAGAAAATATTTTGACAATCGATACAGACTTGGATTCTAGTAAATTACCAGTGTAGTTTCTCTAACCATTTACTTCAACTCTAAAGACTAAATAAACATTTTATATGTTCAGTCTAATATGATTAATATTATTTATTAAAGCAAAAGCAATTTATACAAGAAGAAATAAATTATGAAATACACAAATTAATACAAATTTAAAGCTTCAAGCATATAGCTTTAAAAAAAAAACACAGTGGTCTCTTACCTCTCTGTCATTCGAGAAAGGCAATGATTTTCAAAACATGATCCCAGTGAATTAAAATGTTTAGGATCCACAAAAGGCAGCTGGGGATCTTCTGGCTCCCATGGACAGCTAGGATTTCTATAATAAAACATAAATGTAACGATATATTTTTTCCTGTTTTAATAGTTTCATGGCTTAGTACTTTTAGCCTCAACACCATACTTGCACAAAAATAATTTACTGAGATTTACTTGCATTTGTGAAGTTTAACTCAAATAATCAACAAAAAAAAATAGTAACAACAGTTTTTTTTGTCAAATGGCCAAACAAATGTTTATGAAAGGACATGGTAATGAAAAATAACAGGTTTATATGAAATGACTAAAATCACTGTTTACATAATAGAAAATATGCTTTCCAATAAAACACCCGATTTTGATTAATTTTATTTTTCTCTTATAATGAAAGTCATTGCATCGGATAGATTTTGTGGAAGGATACTTAACTTTTTTGCTTATGCCAGGGAAAACAAATTTATTCTTTATGATTAAGTGCACAGGGAAATGTTTTAAGTATGGTTTGAAAAAATAAAAGCAAATTCATTCCTCACAATAATATCTAACATTATGTGCCTATTTTTTGCTCTATTATGTGGTTTTTGTCCACGAGAAAAACCATCTACAAAATGTGCATATTATTATTATTATATATATTTTTCTAATTTCAAACTTTCAGTTTTTCCCTTACTCAAGACTCCCCTGTCACAAATGACACATCCTCACAGAGAACTTTTAATGGAAGAAAAGAATTTCAAGTTACACAACTGTTTACGTTTTCAACTTTTGTGGTTACTATACAAATTGGAAAAATGGTACTTTTCAATCAATGTGTAATTTTACAAGACAGACAAAAATAAATAAAACAAAATTTTCACCATAGTTTCAATTTTTGAAAAACTAAATGAAATTTTCTTAGCCCTAGTTAGTACAATTATATAAAATATACTCAACAAGTGCTAATATAATCTTAAATGATAAAAATTGCATACAAGATATATATTATTAAAATAAACTGAAATAACATATTTCTAAGTTACTGTCAGATTTATTACACAGTTAGCTTTATTTACACTCACTCCAATATCATCATAAAAACAACAACAAAATGTAACCCTCGAATTACCAATGAGGTTCATATTTCAACATCACTTTAAAAACATTTTTCTGAACTATTTATACACAAAGTTTCCATGACTTTCTTAATTAGAGAGTTCCTCATAATATATATGTGTCATAAAAAAACATTAACAAAAATACTGTCACTACTGCACTATTCTCACCAATAATTGCTTCTCTTCTCTATAAAGTTTAATTAGCTAATGAGTGCTTTCACCTTATAATTCTTTATAATTATAATGAGTGGTTTAATTGACAAAAGAGCATAAAATTATTTAATATTGTCCAGTAGTGGTCAATATATAAAGACATTAGTAATTTGAGGGTTAAAATCCTTTTTATTAAAGCCTTGGTTAAAACAACTAACCTATCTTCCTCATCCACAAGCTGACCTGTACACAAGTTCATTTCAAGCGGACATTCACAAGGACATTCACATTCTTTCTGCTCCATTCGATGACAGTTAAGACACAGTCTGTCAGTCTAGAAGTCAAAGAACATAAATCTAATCACACCTTTAACAAAGAATACAAAATATTAAGTTCTGGTCTGGTTATTGATAAACACACAGCTTCATAATGGGTTATCTGTGTGTGATATGCCAACCAAAGTTATTACAACCCAAATTTTAGCATTGAAAGCCTACAGACTTACCATTGAGTCACTGGGGGCAAAATATTATATACTACTAATACTGTTTGTGCACAATCAAATAACAAAATACATCAATATTTTTGTACACTATTTAAGGAAACGTTAACAGATGATTTCAATTTTAATTTCATTTGAAACGAAAATTACTATTTTATTTCAAGAACAAAGAAAAAAATTCATTTTAATTTCAGAATTTGGATCTTCATATTGGCAAATCAATTGAAATTATAATATTTAACGAGAAAGTTCAGTAAGTTATGAAAAACAGTAGAGTATCATTTCTAAATATTTAGACTTACCATACTACATGGACAAAAAGCTGTAACAGCCTCACAAGTCTGATTCACAATTCCAAGATATAAGTTGGTACCAGGAATGAGTGTGATCTGTAAGAATAAAAAAACTCTCAAAAAAAAGCAAATCAAACTATCACACCCATGGAACATGCTGATAGTAGGATCACTTTCAGTAACATAGAAATGGCATATTAAACCCTACTTTATTACACATTATACAAGTTCCATGTGACAAGTTGTACATACATACATACATATACAAATATGTATGTATTTATAGCTACATGCATATTAATTAAGCATAATTTCCTAGTTTTACATTATGAAATATCTACAAGTATGATGTGACAAACTATGTGTTTACAGTTTAATTATACATAAAGTCTTAATGATAACATTATGATCTGTCCAACTAATCTCAACTCTTCTGCAACTAAATAATTATTGAGAAAATCATACTTTCATATGCTTTTAAGCAGTCAGACAACAATATCTATTTGATGTTAAATAACCACAATAAATAACTTAATACACTTAATTTCTTAGATGTCATCAATACAATGGTAAAAGAGAACAAAAAATTAATATAGCTTTTTAATTAATTTTTTTATAACTACGTAGAATTAACAGTATCTAACAATGAATAAACTTGACAGATGACTAACTAAAACTAAGGAAAACTACTAATGCTGAAGTTTTGTTTACTAGTAAAATAAAACAGTAACAACAACAACAACAAAAAAAAGAGATCTTTACTTACCTGATATTTAGCACAATGTTCTCCCCGAACCAGGTTGGTCAACACCCTGTCTAATGTAACATCAAACTGTAAGAAAAATTTGATTATTATTGATTAGAACACCTAAAACTTGTACTTTGATACCTAAAATAGTGATTTTTTACTTTTTTATAAATCACACAAAAAATGTCATTAGACTTACAACAACACAAAAATATGATTTATATACTTGTTTTCTTGAAGTAAAAGTAACTATTTCTTTACCAGTGTACAGATTAACTATTTGTGAATCAGAGTGCAATTTAAAGTATTTTCATTAAATATACCTCTCTATAGTGATATATCAGCTTTAATCTTTATATCCTTCCTGACTGAGTACCTTTTTATAACACACATTACTGCACGAGTATATGACTGCTGTCAGTATTTAAGCATCGTTTACTAAACCACTCTTCCATCTCACCTGATAAAATCTCTGTATGGTACGATCACTGAAACTATTACACAACTTTTTGTTGACAAATCCTTCATGATTTACGATGTCGTTAGCTACCAAAGGTTCCTGAAAAATAAATAACTGTTGATTTACTTGTTCGTTTAGTACATTCTAATAAGTATAAAAAATGACTGAATCATAAACTAAAATATATTTTAAATTTATAAAAGAGTTCAATAAGTCTACGATGTTTATTACAAAACCACTTGTAATTAGTCCATTAAATTACAAAAGTATTTTTTCTGATAAATGAGCCAGCTACATATTTTGAACTTTTCTGAAGAGCTCATCTTATTAAATATTGTGAATATTATTTAACAAAGCAACATTAAAAAAATGGATTTTTAAATAACACGCTGATTTGTACTTTCAACATAGCCTAAAAAATTACTAACATACATTGTTCAATAAAGTTGTAATTCGTACTACTTCATTTCTAACTACTAATTCTCTTGAAACACCAGTTTTTAAACGTTTTCTTAAAAAAATAAATAGAATAGTCTTTCTTAATGCTGTTTCGTTTTATTTAAACTCTTTGTTCTTTATGTAATCATTCTAATTTTAATTCAGTTGTTCAGTAAAAATGTTCTGGGAAACTGTAGCCTGAAGAATAATTCAAACACTTAAATTTTTATATTCACTGGCAAAATAATATCAGCTCTCACATGATTTAGAAAATTGAACCTCGATCTTCTTAAGTCAAAACAGAAAGTTTGGTAAGAATTTAATTTTAGATTTCTCCAAAAATTTTCATTTTTCCTCATAATTAGGTGAAAAATTTTAATTTAGTGACTCAATAAATATCAAATTAAAAACCTAATATAATTATAGACTGAATATTCACATTCCAAAAAATGTTGCCTTCTGTTATTATATTTAAAATAAACACAACAAAACAATGACTTTTACACTCAAAACAATGTAAGATAGAATGCTTATATTTTACTGGTAGTTAAATAACAACATTCAACCACTCTTGATAATTCCAAAATAATTGAATATTTGTCTAAGATGTTACTGAAAAGTTTTGAACTCTTTATATTAAAGAATGACTGTATTCTAAAACACATATACCTTGTGTGTTACATGCTGTTGTTCAATAGGTCCATGACCATTTGGCTCAATAAGTCCAGGGTGAGCTATCAAGTAGCCTTTATCATCCATGATGAAACATCTGAATGAAAATATTTCTCATGATTCTGGATGCCAATATCTTACACTGTTAAGTGTCTTGAGGCAATATCAATTGTCAAAAAATGCAATTCATTCAAATATCAAAGTTATGTCGTGCACCAAACACAGACTGTATGTAACCGAGGATTAAATTTTACTCATACGTAGATTCTGAAACAAAACAAGTTGCTTCCATTTTCTCGTAAGGCACGATACATCATATTTTGTGATTTGTTTTCATCACAACTTCTTTCTACGCTTTTCTAAAATATAGATTTAATAGTACGATCACAAGAAGAATATAACAAGTTACATCTCAAACAACACTATCCCCTAAAGATACTTCTGTAATTTAAAAAACTTCTAACAGTTTGCATTAGTTGCACGACTAAGACATAGGACCTATACCCGATATCAAATTGGTGCTTTCATGTGGCATCAATGTAAAAACATTCGGTAGAATTTGTTTTAATTTTAACTTCCATGACCATCTCCAGTAAATATGAGTAAAACTACAGATAAGCTTGAGTAACTGAAACAATTAGTCCATTACAAAGTAGCTTAATTTTACTTCTCAGTCTTAACTGTGTATTAATTGTGATATTTTAATATCACCACCAAATAATATAAAGCATGAAACAGTTTAAAAAGAAACAATTTTTTGCACAAAAGGAATTTAATTAAACCCCACAGAATTGATAAAATACTACATAATTTACGTAAATGATATGATTCCACTCCTTAAAGTTCAAGATGGCAATTTTCTTGAATTCATACTTTACCTATCTATCCTTTTCACACTGTGGGATGATATATGTTAATTGTAACCGAATGAGTATTCATACTATCCATGTCACATAGTAGGATAGTATCTATTAGTTCTAAATGAATTCATACTTAACCTACTCTATCCTTCTCACACAGTAACGTAGAATTGACTTATTTTAATTAAACCAATACTTACACTACTCTATCCTTTTTACACAGTGACATAGCACTGACTAGTGTTAACTAAATCAATACTTACACTACTCTATCCTTTTTACGCAGTGACGTAGCACTGACTAGTATTAACTAAATCAATACTTACACTACTCTATCTATTTTACACAGTGACATAGCACTGACTAGTTTTAAATAAATCAATACTTACACTACTCTATCCTTTTCACACAGTGGGATTGCATCCACTAACAATTTGTAGAAATATCCTAATGTGAAGTCCATGCCTAAAACAGCTTTGATAGCGTCAGATGAACTATGCATTGCTGCATGTCTGTTCCAAGAAGAAGGCAAATACAAGCATAGAATTAGGCATATAATAATTTTAAATAAAAAACCAATTTCTTATTTCTTAAAAAAACCTATTTACAAACTTAATCTTAAGTGTGATGTCCATTAAAGTATTTTCACATCACATTATCTAATATAAAATCTGACTGTAAGTTAACTAAAACCAATGGAGTGAGGAGAATTATTTTAAACATAACACTGATATCCAAGCCAATTTTTCAAATAAACAAAAACGTTATTAAAAAGTTATTAGCCATACAAACATTGATCAAGCAAACAAATACACCATAAATGTTTTAAAGGTAAAGAGTGGTTCAATACAAAATTCCACAGTTTATGGTAAAATTCTTCAAAACTTAATAAAGGCACTTCTAGGTCTAAGAAATTTACAAGAAAAAAAGTTTACTAAACCACATACAAATTAACTAATGACGTAAACCCTTAAATATTCTAGCAGATACTATTTTTAACAGATTTTAGTTAATGTAAAGTTTATAAATCATAACTACTATTCAATTTGTAGTGTAAGATACAAATGTGTTTGTCTGTAACTATCTTACTCAGGATACATTTAATAGATGATGGGTTACAACCATCAACATTGCACATTTTTTTTACATAAAAGCAACACAAGCATTATAAATCCTTGAATTAATTTACCAATATAGAAAAGAACTACTTACCTTCCCTCATAAACAGTGTGGCTTAGCGTAACAATGTAACCAGCTCCACCGACATCGAGGTAAGGTGCTGTTAAAACTACCCTCCCAGGATGTTCCATTGCTCGTCGAAACCACTCTCGTTTCGTTGGGTCATATTTCTTGTCCACTACCGTTCCTGGATAGACCTGGAAAACTCCATTGGTGGTGGCAATGAACCTAGAGAGAAAACTATTCATAAATACCAATTTACAAATAAAAACATCTTGATTTGTATTTTATGTATTATTTATCTCACTTTTAAAAAGTTTATTCCCAAAATTTTCTTTATGAAATTTATCTAACAAATAGAATTCTTTTAAGACTAGTTATTAAAAGATGACTTTATCTATTATTTCATCAAACAACATTCTTGACAAGTGCATACCTTCTCACAATGTACTTTGAAAAATCGCTATTCAAGACCCTTTTCTTCCATTCTGGAGTGATGCGAATTGTTGAAAGAACATCATTACGCACTTCATTCTGTAGAAAATTAGGGTTTAAACAACTGTGAAAACATCAGTTACTGTTTATAAAATTATCAAACTATAAACAATACAAAATTCAAACATATAAACTCAGTTAGACCATAAGATTTTACATACTTTCAACAATATTGTTTTAGTACCACCTTACGATGGTGATCGGGGGGATCTAGTAAAACATATTTTTTAATAACTTCTTCTATTCATTTAATAAATTTTATTACTGATTCTGAACAGAAAAAAACAACAACAAAAAACGTTTCCCTGGAAATATTTGTAGATACCACTGTAACATAAGTTATTATTAAATTTGTAATCTAAAATACAAAATGATCACTTGATTAATTAATAAACCTATATTTAAGAAACGTGCTCACACAAATACTTAAAAAACTATAGTTATATTATTTTAACATGTGCCACACCAGTGAGTTACAATTGACTTTTAGTTATGGACTGCATGGGTCACAGACAGTTATGTTTCAAAGTCAAATTTCTTTTGTGGCATATGTGTTTGGGACTGTTTCTTAGCACCTCTTGAATGTTTAAGTTTATTTATACTTAATTTATTATGTGGCAGCCACCGTGTTAATCAAATTATTCAAAGTTAGTAACCATTAACATGTTTAAAAATTAAGATAGAAGCAAAGCAATAAACTTTATTAATATTAACTTTTTTAGTTCAAATTCTTTTTCTTGAATATTAATGAAATGTTAACATTTTCTTACACTGAATTTTTATTTCCTATAGTTACCTCTTCTCACACAAAACTATCTCGATCTTCTTTCTGCCCTCTAAATATTGCTAAAAATATTTTCACGCTCAGCACACTAGTCTATATACCCCAGCAATTTTGCACCACTACTGAATATGTACATATCATGTGACTATTCTCCACCAATAGTATTGCACTATATTGGCTCAGCTAGCTCCCTCCGCTATTCCCAATCAATCCTCACTTTCGAGAATTGGCAGGATCTAAAAGAATAAGTCCAGCAGTGGGGAGGAAGGGTGATAAGTGTGTAAGTTGAGGTAAGTATCTATCAGAAATACACTTTCACTGTAAGAAAAATATTAACTTCTGATACGGTCTTACCTCCACACACACACAATGGTGGAGGGGCCAACGTAGGCACACAACAATGAAACCAAGCAAAAAGCAACTGTCCGGAATGAATGGGTGTGCTCCAAGGTGGACAGAAGCACACATGTGGGCACAGCACTACTTCTAGAACAGGGATGCCCTTCACTCTGGGAAAATGAAATGAACCTGATACAGGTGGGAAAAAAGGATGTGCACAAGTGTAATTCGTTCTGAAAGATGCAATCCATGGTAAAAATCAACCAAACTTAGCTACTGATATACCCAACCTCAATCGGACAGACAAGGTTCCACAACTCATTCTCAGTTGAGGATCGATCAGATAAAAACAATTACAGAGTAGCATACACATTGTGGCTAGGGCATGTGGACTGTGTTACACATACACATGAACCCCAACCATACGTAAACAGTGTGTCATACGTCAAGCAACTGGAATTACGAAGAGGAAGTTAGCATGCAGCCAAAACTAGACAAACCTTCAAAACCACTGAAGGAGCAAGAAGTACAACAAACCAAACTTGGCATTATGGGGTCATGACATTGCCTCAACCCAAACATAAGAACAGGGCAATATCTGTAACTGAAATTAAGAGCAGAAATCTTAACTCACAGAAACCATAAAGGCAGGGAAGAGACATCCTGCACCCAGAATTATGAGGAACATATGGAACATTTGCTCAACTGTAGGAACAGTTTATGTATGCCCAGTTGCCGATTTTACAGGGCATACTAAGTCCCCCAAACTCAACCTTAAAAGCAGGGATGGAACCACCTGCAAACAGAATTAACCCTCTCACTACAGGTCTTCCTATGGTCTGGGGTCAAAGGGCATGTCATCATGTTTGTAGACTTATATTATAAATTTTATTCATTTACTATTATATGAATGTATGCCAATAAGTTTGGTGTCACATTGTACATTATAATTCAAATTTCAGTATTATACATTAGATAATTTCTTAACTTAAAAATTAATTATTAAAACAAAATTTCTAAATATCAATTTTTTTTGTGTGTCATGTGGTATGTTGAATACAGCTTTGGTTCAAATTATATGTCAAATTGATGTCCAAATACAAAGTCTATAGTTTCCTACAAATTAGAAACTCAAATTACCAATATTGAGAAGCTAGAATATGAAATAAGAACCTCCTGTCTTTTCTATTTGCTAAGATATTGCTACATATAGTGAATCAAACATTGTGGCCTTGCTCACTTCTTTCCATTTTTGGAAATACTTGCTTACATACAACTACTTCTCTCTATGATGTGCAAATAACCAAATGAAAGCTCAGAATGTCCCAACTGGTGGTTTTCTCAGTCTTGAATCGCTGAAGGATGTGGTAAGTGAAAATACTGCCCCAAAATCATTTTTTTTTTACTTAAATACAGTTTAGTTAGTAAGCCTGATAAATTACAGTGGAATTCTGCAATATTTGGTTATTGCAAAATGAATATATAAAACCTAAAAAAATTATTTTGTTTTACATCCTCCACGTGTGAAATTTGACAAGGCTCAGCAAATTACGGCAAATGGGCAAACAAGTACAAAGTTTGTGAGTAGAAAAAAATCAGTTTTCTATATTTCTTTATTTACTGTTCTATGTTTTAAGAAAAATAACTGAGCCCGCAGTGAGAGGGTTAACGAGAAGGAGGCCTCTACTGCACACAACTGTGGGAACATGTCAGTGTCATCCCGAAGCTGATATTATGAACAGGATCTTGCATAGGCTGGTTCTTCTCCAACTGACAACTGTCCACCTGGGAATAAGCATCCAGGGAAAATAGAAGGAGGGAAACCAGCTTTGCCCTCTTCTCACTAAGTGGAGAAATGGTAAGTTAAAAGTCTACAACACACTTAGGAGGAAGTATCCATGATCCAACATCCCAGCAGTTGGGAACTGGGAAGTGATAAGGATTCCCTTGCTACACTCAGAGAAAACAAAAAAGGGGGAAGTAAATGCAGTGGGGAGTCGGGAGGAACATCACACTGAAGAAAGTGCAGTGTGTGTCCATTGTTTACTAATTTAAAACCATCCCTGATTTATTCAACCAAGGGGTTAGCAGGGAGGGGCAAAACTTCCCTTTTACTTTACTCATGAACATCCATGAGTGATGGTCAACAGTGGAGTGAAACTTATCGATATACCATTGGGCATACCACCAGTGGTCTTGTAGAACACCCCATTTTAACAGTGAACATTATAGCATAACCAGTAAATATTGCAGGTTTGAGGCAAAGCATACCCAACCAGGCAACATCTACCACATAAAAGAAATGATGTGATAATACTTAACCCACTCAAAGGCAAATGGACATGTAGAGAATTGCTGGGGGAGGGACAAGATATCAACCTGAGGAAGATACAGCCAGCTTATTCACATAATGAGCAATGAAGGTACTGGCAGTAGTCAACGTTCTGGCCTGAACGATTTCCTCTAACGGACAATGAAGGCGAGTAGCCAAAGACATGGTGATATGATGAATTTGATGAGAAGAAATGCTGTGGTAAACTTCCATGAAAAAGTCAAAATATACCAGCCTAATGAGTTGATGAACCCAATCAGTTAGTGTGACAGAGGATAAATCACACTTCGAAAGGAGGCAGTATGTGCGACATAACTCCATAAGGAGTGAAGAAGACAAAGAAGCCAAACTGGATCAAAATGGGAGTACAGGTGGGAGATAGAAGATAAGGAAATGGGTGTGAAAGCTAAACAACCTTCATGGGTAGAATAGTCTTAGGAAGGAAGGATTGGTTTGGATATAGTATGACAAAAGTGGAATGGTAGAGAATTCTGGTAACATTAATGGCATAAATATCTGATCGATGACATCTGCAAGTGAGGATGAGAAGAAAATAGGTCTTTAGGTAAATGGAACACAATGACAAAGGTTCAAAGGAAAGATGAGAAAGGGTATATAGGACCACATTTGAGATCCCAAGCAGGCTAATCAAAGGAACATGGAGGACACATGACCCGAAGGGAGCAGAAAAGGATGGAAATGACAGAGGAAGACAAAACCTTATGAAACTTGGAGAAACAGAAGGTGTTTGACAAGGTCGCCTGATAGCTAGACACAGTTGAAGTGGACAAGCCTTGGTCAAACAACCAGCTGAAGAATAGGGAAGTTTAGGAACGGAAGGGTTTGAAGGATGGAAACCACATCGAAGAGACCAAAGGCAAAAGGTACACCATTGTCTTTGGTAAATGGACATGGAAGAAGGTCTTATGGATCTGTAAAACAAAGATGCAACATGTGAAGTTAGTCCCTGTGCTGAGGCAATGTAACTGACAAAAGTCACGCGTAAAGACAGAGGGTGATAACATCTGGATGTATAATGTCTGACCAAGATTGATGGAGTAGAGACTGAGACAGAGGTAAGGGTAGAGGAAGATAAGCAAAGATTAGAGCAATGGAAGCCATGGTTGTGCCAGCCAATATGGAGCCACCTGGTGAACTAGACATGGGGTGGTTTAGATTGGATTAGGGACATAACTCTGGGGAGGAGTCAAAAAGGAGGGTAAACATAGATGTGATGGCCTCTCCAGTCTTGACTGAATGCATTCATTTCCAGAGCTAGCAGGTGTGGAATGGGAGACCAAAAGAAAAGAAGTTTGGTGTTCCAGTGGGTGGCAAAAGTATTGATATGAGATTTTTCCTGCTGAGAACACACCCACCAAAAGACCTGTGGATCAAGGGATCACTCCATGGGAAGAACCTTGTTGGGTCAAGATAAACGATCTGCAACCAGATTCAGGATGCCAGGAACATGGCAAACTAAGAAAACCAATAGGTAACTGTGGGTCCAGAAAAGGAGATCCAGATCAGAAAGCACAGAGACCTGGACTTGGCACCCCTTGCTTGGTGATATAAGTGACCACTGTGGATTTGTCGGAGTGTACCAAAACCACCACCACCACCCCAACAGGAGAGGAAGGAAGAGGGATAAAGCTCGAAGAACCACTATAAATTCAAGAATGTTAATATGGAGAAAAGACTCCTCAACCAACCAGAGACCGGAAATCTCCCAAGTGTCAAAATAAGCACCCCAACCCACTAAAGATGCATCCATGAACAGATATAAATCTGATTTTGGTGTAGGAAGCAGAACTCCCACAGTGGTCTGGTCCCTGTCTGGTCACCAAGTCAGGCCAGCCCTGATTGTGGAAGGAAGAGTAAGAGGGTGACCCAAGGGATCCATTGATTGAGGAGGTTCCACTGACAGTAATGCATATGAGCTCGACCAATGGGAATAAGAGTTTC